TGTTGCTGGGCAATGTCGGAGTTGCAGTCATGTGAACTTGATTGTACAGCTAACTTGAGACACATCTATGATCGTTTGCCAGGTCACCTTCAAGGAAAGTGGAGGAAGACTGCGATGTTGCATCGTGAGAGGTCGGGTGGAAGTGAGCCCGACTCAAAGGAGCTATCCAAGTTTATTACTGCACAGTCGCAAATTGAGAACGACCCGGTGTATGGCAGAAAGAGTGAATCACAAACAAAGTTCAGTGTTGGCAGGAACCCCACTTAAAAAGCACTTGAAGAAAGGGCTGGTCGGACGATCCCCACTCTAGCAACAGAGGTCCGGACACAAGAAAACGGAGGTAATCAGGGACCAAAGAAACTCGTAACTGCCAGTGAGTAAGGAAGTAATGGGGTAACCTCAATCAAGGTGAACACTGTAAGGTCTGCAAGGGAGCCCATGCTATCTCAAAGTGTTCGGTGTTCCTGTCCAAGGGCGTAGGTTGGCGGAGACGATTTGCAACATGGGTTTAAGGCTCTTTGCTACCGATGTCTGTCTTACAATCATTTGAAAAGGAACTGCCCAGAAAAGACCAGTTGTACTGAGAAAGACTGTGCTCATCCACAAGATCACCACTTGCTGTTGCATATTTCGACAAAAAACGAGATTGAGGATGTTAAAGGCAATCCTGAGCAGAGATTCCCGGTAGTGTCCAATTTGTCAGTGAACAATGCAACGACAGAGAGTAACAGGAGGAGCTTTGTATGGCTCAAAGTTGTTCCACTCAGAGTGACTGCTGGAAAGGGGAGAACACTTACTACGTATGGTGTATTAGACTCAGCTGCTGTTAGCTCAATGATCACTTCTAACATTGCAGACAAACTGCAACTTCAAGGAGTTCCAGAGAAAGTTAGCATAAACATTGTCACTCAAAGAGACCAAAATCTTGAATTATGCAAGGTCAAATTCCAGATCAGCTCAGCGAGCCAAGGAAGTCCCTCCTTCCCAGTGTATCACGCCTTGACAGTGAAAAGTTTGAATGTGTCGGACCTCTACTGCCCAAGTCAACTGGATTTGTCTCCTTGGCCACACCTCAGTGGTCTTCAATTGCCAAATACTGCTGTCGATGTGAATGAAGGCTCTGCGTTAATTTGCCAAGACGTACCTCAAGTTCATATGGTTCTTGACTGTTGCTGGGGAGACAGTCCACAGAGTCAGCCATACGGAATGAAGACCCCCTTTGGATGGTGCGTTGCCGGGCTAAAGGAGGATGAAAACAAGCCTGTTGCGCTATCAGTCTTCGAATTTGATTGGGCCGAAGACAAGCGAGACATGATACTGCACGAACAAGATGAAAGGTTCTGGGCTTTAGAATCACATGGATTCAGGAGTGATGGCTCGTCGAACAGTCTTGAAGACGAAAGAGCCGTTGAAATCCTAAAGAGAACAACTAAGCTGAAGGATGGAAGGTATGAAGTTGGTTTTTTGTGGAGAAAGGTTAACGCTGAGCTGCCTAACAACCGCGTGCAAGCTGAGAAGCGGCTGCAGCAACTTAAACGGCGTTTCCGACGTAGTCCTGAGTTTGCCGCCCAGTACAAGACAGTCATGAATGACTATACATAGACAAGGGTTATGCAGTGAAATTGTCGGACGAAGAAGCGGCTCGTACCAGCAGCCACACATGATACCTACCCCACCATGGAGTGATCAACCCAAACAAGTCTAAAGTAAGGGTGGTGTATGATACAGCTGCGAGATTTGAAGGGACCGCACTTAATAAGGAACTGCTACAAGGCCCGCTGCGTAACAACTCATTAGTAGGAGTATTGATGCAGTTTAGAAAGGATGAAGTAGCAGTAGCTTCTGACATAGAAAGTATGTTTCATAGAGAGGCTTGCAGAGAGGACGACACGGACGCACTCCGATTCTTGTGGTGGGATGGTAGTTTAGACGAACCACCTGGTGACTATAAGATGACAGTACATTTGTTCGGGAAGGCAGATTCGCCATGCATTGCTGCTTGGGCATTACAGCAGACTGCTGCGGACAACGAGACTGCCTTTGAAGAAGAAATTCGTGAAATTGTCAAGAAAAATTTCTATGTAGATGATAGTTTGTTCTCGAAGCCGTCGACAGAACTGCCAGTGCATTGATCGTTGGAACTGATGAGAATGTTACGCAAAGGGAATTTTCGCCTGACTAAATTCATTTCAAATGACAAAGATGTATTGGCTGCTATCCCAGCCGAAGAAAGAACAATCAAGAATCTTGACCCCGATAGACTTCCTATAGAGAGAGCCCTTGAGCAACAATGGAACATTGATATCGATACGTTTGGTGTCAAGACATCGCCGCCATCAGGTCGAACCGGAATGACACACGGCGAAGGTGTTTGTCTACATTGAGCTCGATCTTCGATCCTCTTGGTATGATCGGACCAGTCCTGTTGCCAGCAAAAAGAGTCTTACGCCAGACTTGGCAGCTAAAGCTCCTTTGGGATGAGAAGTTACCTGAAGACTTGTTGAAGGACTGGAATAATAATAATAATAATATTTATTGATTTGTATTGCGCAAATATCAATCCAGGGAAAGAAATTTTCATCTGCGCATAACATTGACTCAACAAAATCCTAAAATCCTAGTACATATTCCAAAAGTCTTATTTACAGATCGTTCCTGAAAATTAGTAAAAATAACAATTTAAAAATAAAAATTAATCTGTAAAATCCTATATACAAATCCTTCTTAATAAAGAGAATAAAAACAATAAATTAGCTTGGAAACGCCTTCTGAAATAAATAAGTTTTAAGTGCCTTCTTAAAAGCATTAACTGAAGTTATATTTCTAATAAAAAGGGGAAGATCGTTCCATAATTTAGGGGCAGCCATATAAAAAGATCGATCACCAAGCGTGGAAAGAGACTTGCATGGTGGAATGTTAAGAAGTTTGCCGTTATTTGATCTAAGATAGTACCTACCCCCTGTGTCTTTCGGTGATACAAGTTCGGAAATGTAAGTCGGAGCAAGTTTATGAATGGCCTTAAAAGTTAACAATAAAATTTTAAAAACAATTCGATATGCTACGGGTAACCAATGTAGGGCCCTGAGCAATGGTGTAATATGACAAAATTTACTTTGTTTTTGCAGTTTTTGAATCTGATACGCTGGTAAGCCATATAAGAGGCTATTGCAATAGTCAAGGCGGCTAAAAATAAAGGCATATATCAGAGTTTCAGTACATTCTTTGCTGAGATATTTCCTTATCCCCCTGATATGGTACAAATAATAGAATGCTGCAGAGCTTGTTTTCGTTATGTGATCGCCCATTGATAGGTTAGAATCTAACCACACACCCAGGTTCCGAACGGAAGATTATGCAGCAACGTGTTAGAGTGTCCAACAGTTATGCCATCAATTGTGATTTTAGCGAGTTGCTGTCTGGTGCCGATCAAAAGAAGTTCCGTTTTGGCATCATTCATGAGCAACTCGTCTTGAGACATCCACTGCCTGATGTCTTGAGTGCTATGTTCAATAGAAGCAACTGCAACAGCCTGCCCAGAGTGCGCCTTGGGACTAAACGAGATGTATAACTGAGAGTCATCGGCGTAACAATGGACAGTTGGGAGGTGCTTCTCCAAGACATCAAACAGTGCGCTTGCATAAACTGTAAAGAGAAGTGGGCCAAGACACGAGCCTTGAGGAACACCATACCGCAGGTCAAACTTATCAGATACAGTTCCCCGGACAGACACTCGCTGGGAACAGCCAGACAAATAAGATCAAAAACAGGCAAGGGCAGTGCCATTCAAACCAAGTTTTTACGATAATCTGTTAAGGAGAATGCTGTGATCAACGGTATCGAAAGCAGCACTGAGATCAAGCAATAAAAGGGTAGTAACGTGCTGCTTGTTCATATTTAACAGAATATCGTTCATTACTTTCAAAAGTGCTGTTTCAGTGCTGTGATTTCTTCTATAAGCAGACTGCGCAACTGGGTATAAGTTAATAATAAGTGGAAGGAGAACTTGACACTGCTCAATCATGTGACTATTCCGCGTTGCTATTTTCCTGGTGGCTGTTCGCTCGATGCTACGTTCCAACTGCATCACTTCAGTGATGCGTCAGAGGTTGGATATGGAACTGTCTTATACTTGAGAAGAGAAACTGCAGACGGAAGAGTTGATTGCACCTTTATCATGGCCAAGAGTCGTACCGCCCATCTACAGTTCGTGTCTGTGCCAAGACTTGAATTACAAGCTGCTACAATTGCTGTAAGAATGCATCGTCTGATCCTTAAGGAGATTGACCTGGTGATGTCTGCTTCGATCTTTTGGACCGATTCAAAGATAACGCTGCAGTACATCAGCAATGAGACACGCAGTTTAAGACGAATGTTGCTAACAGAGTAGCAGAAATTAGAGATGTTTCTCAGCCGGGTCAGTGGAGACATTGGCCAGGGAGCCTCAACCCAGCTGACGAAGCGTCCCGTGGCATTTCGGCACAACGATTCCTAACGAGCGAAAGATGGTTCAAGGGTTCTGCCTTTGAGAGGAAGCCGGAAGAAGACTGGCCATGTTTTGAAGTTGAGGCTCTTCCCGAAGACGACCAAGAACTAAAGGGCGAAAGAGCTATATTCACTTTGACTCTACCAGAGAAGTTGCATGAGTTGTTTGTGAAGTATTCCTCTTGGACGGTGCTCCAACGAAAGGTAGCCTGGCTGCTGAAATTCAAGGCGTACCTTCAGTATCGTTAAGACAAGAAAGCAGATATTGAGATGCACCTGACTACGGCAGATCTGGAGAAGCAACATTGACTATAGTTAAACTAGTACAAAGAGAAGTATCTGCAGAAGAAATACAGGATTTGGAGACGAGAGGCCATGTCAAACTTTCGAGCAAGATTGTAAAGCTCCGACCCATATTGGATGACTGCGTCATGAGAGTTGGAGGTCGCATTGCAGATGCCCCCAGTGCGTTTGGTGCCAAATTCCCTATGATTGTTCCACCAAAGCACCATGTGGCCCAGCTACTGATTGCAAGCTTTTATCAGAAATTATTACATGCTGGACAAAATCACATCCTTGCGCACTTCAGGGAGAAGTTTTGGGTACCTAATGGGAGGTCTACCATACGTAAGGTTGTGAGATCGTGCATGACATGCAAGAAACAGAGAGCGGCAACGATGGAACAGATGATGTCCGCCTTACCAGCATTTCGCACCACAGCCTATGAGCTGTGCTTCACCTATACAGGAGTAGACTACTTTGGCTCCCTGAATGTTAAGAAGGGAAGATCAGTTATTAAGAGATGGAGAGCAATATTCACGCGCATTAATTCTAGGGCAATACATTTTGAGCTGGCCAGTTCCCTCGAGGCTGACTGTTTTATTAACGTCTTTAGAAGATTTGTAAATAGAAGAGGGCCACCCAAATTTATGTACTCTGACAACGGGACCAATTTTGTGGGTGCCGAGCGGGAGATCAGACAAGCAATTAAAAATTGGAACCAATGCCAAATCAGAGATGAACTCCTGCAGAGGGGGTCCAAGTGAGTGTTTCAGCCACCTAAGGCTTCTCATGCCATTGGGGTATGGGAAAGGCTGATTCGTAGCACTCGAACCGCCCTGAAAGCGATGCTTGGAGAAAGTCTAGTGGAAGAAGATGTACTGGCGACTGTCCTGACAGAAGTTGAGGCAACCCTTAATTCCAGACCTCTTTGTGCCATTTCAGACGACCCCAACGACCTTCAACCATTAACGCCAAACCACCTGTTGTTGCAGAGAACAGTAAGCACCTTGCCACCTGGAACCTTTTTGAAAGAAGATATGCTGTTGACAAAGAAACGGAGACAGACGCAGATATTGGCTGACCATTTTTGGAGACGATGGTTGAAGGAGTATGTTCCAGCCCTACAGGAGAGACAAAAATGGCAAAGACCTCGACGAAACGCGCAAGTTGGAGACCTAGTACTTGTAGTGGATCAAGACCTTCCTAGAGGAAAGTGGCATTTGGGCCGTATTGTCAGGGTGATTCACGGAAAGGATGGGCTCGTGCGAACAGTTGACGAGAAGACCGGACCTTCATCGTCGTTGTTGCGACCCATACAGAAACTCTGTCTGTTAGAGGAATCAGAGAACCTCTACCGTGATTAAGACTGTTTATGATAAAGGATCGGACATTGACATTGTTATTTCCAGTTATTGATCCGACTAATAGGTTTTTTTGGGAACTCACGCCTAACTTGTTACCTTTAAATGCTTCACTAAGTTTCGCATGGGGCGGGGTGTTTCCCGTCCTTTTAGATCACTTGAAGAGTTTTTGTTGTTGAACGGAGTTACTCGATGTATCAGTTGGAGCGATTCACACGAAGTAACGACGTTTTTAACGTTTGACAACGTATACATCCTTGTTTGTACGGATTGCTTTGTCTTGTCCGCCGTATATATCCTTGGTTGTACGGATTGGTTTGTTTCGTCCAATAAACGCCAGTTTACAAGTGGATTTGCACCATACATTAAATAACGTTTAAGGTTGTTATCTTGCTAATCGCGATGGATTTTTTAACGGACATCGGTCGATTGGCATCAACCAGAAGAATGTATGTTAAATGTGTTTAGCTAAAATACTTCAGCATGTGCATACTAAAACCAAACAACCGTAAAAAGCCATACAGATTTTCATGAATAGTTGATGTTATTTTTTGTCGACTCGACAATGGGATGCTTTGCACGCATCCTTAGTGTATCAACCTGAAAATTATATTTTCGTGCGCGCCATGATGATCGTATGTAGTAGAGTGACGTTATTTATTTTCGAAAGTTCACCTTGTGCCTCGTGCCCATCCTCTTTATCTTTGTACTATAACTTAACTTAATTATGACTTGGTATTTTCGAACATCTGGAGAAGTGAGTTGTAGCCATTGGAAATAAAATGACCTCTAGGGCAAGCCTAAAGCTATTTTTGTGTAATGTGTTATTTTCTGATAATATTTCTGTGTTAAAAGTGTACTCTAAGAGTTTTGTTTACAACGCATTTTAATGATTTTGTAGGATATTCTTCTCATCCTTCTTTTATATGTTCTGTAACAAACGACACAAGGACATTGCCAAACATTCCATCAAGAGAAAGAGACTGAAAAAATAGGTACAATTGTGCAATGTATTTATTTATATCACAGACTGTTTTATACTAATCCCAGTGGGTTTTATATTGGGACAGGCAGAAAAAGAGGGGAGGCAAGGAGGGTGGACTTAATGGGGGTGTGGTGCATTTTATTGCAGGTATGAAGGATGAATACAACAAGATAGCATTTATGGATCTGCAAAATAATAATATTGTCTTTGCTGTGAAAGGTTTGAACGCTGGAGCCATTTC